ACCCCAAACCGGTTCCCACCCAGAGAGCGGGACCCCGCCTGCACAGGAACCCAAGAACCACAGACGAGAGAAGTAGATAGAGCTTACCTCCGCCACAGCGAGAAGACGCCACCACCCACCGGAACTCGACGCGATCTCGAGCACCGCCATCAATCGCGGACCCATACTTGCGACATCAGAGGCGCACACCGTCAAGAGGAAGGACGGGCGATCTTCGACGACCCCTGACCGAGCTTAGTTCGCTGCCGAGGAAGGCAGAAAATCAATAAATTGAGGGAGACGATGCAAAGAAATGGGGGTAGGGTTTTTTCGCCGTCGAGAGACTTGACAATTCAATATTTTATATTTTTCTTATTTATGATATATAATATTCAAAAACTCGTATTTTTTAGGTATCCGAGTCATATTTACAAATGACAATTAAAAAATAAAAAGTTTGATAATGATTTCAAATAAAAAGTTTGAAAATACAAAATCTTAAGTTGAATAGTGCAATATTTTTTGTTCCATTTTTGTTAAATCTTTTTTTTATATTTGATATTTAAATAAAGAATAAAAAGTTCATATCTAATGTTAAAATTAAGTTGTAGATAAATAAAAAATAATAATTAAAATGCATATACTTAAAAATATACTATGACTTAACTTATTATATTTTCGTTGTTTGTTTTTATTTTTTAGTATATTCAATTTATTATTAAATATTTATATTAAGATGATATTTACATTAAACATCAGTGAGAATTAGTCCTTAGATGTTATTTTTGAAGTCATTCAAATACTCTGATAATTTTTGTAGTCAACCATCCATTTTTATTATATGCAAATATACGTGTAATATTTCTATATATATATATATATATAAAATTATACCCAAATAGCTTACGCAACACGCAACGCTATTTATGCTACGCAGTATAAAGACCAAAACGCGACGCATTATGCTATACGCGTTTTAAACACTGGTTTAAATAAAAAATTATTCAAACACAATTGTATTTTTCTTTTATTGAGATGATAAAAGGTAGAATAAAATTTAGGGTTAATTGCTAAATAAATCTTAACCTTTTTGCGTTTTGCAATTTTATCCCAATCTTTGGTTAATTGCAATATAATCTCGACCTCAATTTACTTATTGCAAATTTGGGTGCAGAGTGATTAATTTTAGGGATTTGTGGATCGATTTTGTGTCCAAGTCTTCCATTGACACGAGTTTTTATGTCATCCACGTAGCAAGTTGAAAATTTCCATGTATTTAATGTATATCCACGTACAAAGCCGAAAATTCCACGTCAATGTAAGCTACCGGTGATGAGTCTCCTCCTAGATCTGGAGTGAACAGGTAAATATGAGCTCTGATCTGTTCGAATCGCCTTCAAATCGACCAATTTTTTGAAGGTCCAACCGGTTTTAAGTTCGAATTGCAATAAGTAAACTGAGGTCGAGATTATATTGCAATTACCCAAAATTTAGGATAAAATTGCCAAACGCAAAAAGGTTAAGGTTTATTTAGCAATTAACCCTACAATTTATATTATTACATTTAAAATACTTCCTTAAATATATAATTAATAGTAGATGGATTGTGCCCATTTATTATTACTATCACCATCACTAATAATAATAATAATAATAATAATAATAATAATAATAATAATAATAATAATAATAATAATAATAATAATTAGACAGTAGAAATTCGTGATTCTAGAAACAATAACAATTATGTAATTGTTTGTAACTAAAAGATGAAATATAAATATTTTTTTAAAATAAATAATATTTAGGCTTACAAAAATATTTATGATATACAATAAAAAATTTATGTCACAATAATGACACTTTTAAGTTTTTTCATAAAAAAATGTGAACGTATTAACATAGTTTCCATCATTTCCAAATAAATGAATTCATTATTAATATTCCACAAATAATTATATTTAGGAATAATTTAAATAATTTTTTTCCAATTAATGTTAAAATATAATTTATTTTTTATTATACAAATAAATATATCTATCTATTTATTTTTATGTATAATACAGATGTCAAATCAAATCTCATCAACACATGATTAATTAGATATATTATATATGAAAATTTGATAATAAATAAAAGAATTATGAAGAAATGTGAAGAAAAAGAAATATTAGAGAAAAAATTATGCCTTATAAACTACGTCTAGAATAGCAAATAATATTAAAACATAATTAATGCTCATAAAAATGTTCATAAGTATCCAATATATATATTGATATTTCAAGCTTAGTTATTTTTGGATTGGAAATAAATTAAAATTCATCCAAATCTAATGACAAAGCATGAAAATTTGCTACATAAGATTTCGATGCGTGCGAGCCTGCTACTTAGGCTTAACACATTATGGTGTTATATATAGGGGGTTATATATATTATATATGAAAATTTGATAATAAATAAAAAATTTAGCTTTTAAATATATTTATAATTTATGTTAGTAAATGTTTTGTAATTATAAAAGTAATATGAAGAAAAAAAAAGATTAAAGAAAAAATTAGGGCTTATAAATCACGTCTAGAATAACAATAATATTAAAACATAATTAATACTCTTAATTAAGTTAACATATTATGTACACCCACATATATAATATTATGTACCTATAGTATTTCTCGATTTCAAATCACAACTTGAATCCTTCTATATATATTAATTCAAAACGTGTTGAGCATAAGTGACAGATTTTCACGCTTCGAATGCTGACGTGGCGAAAATCTATGCTTCGTAATGTTGTTTGTATATTCATTTTTGCTCTAAAATTAGATTTTTTATTAGACAATAATCACTTTGTACAACAATAACTTTTGTCATATATTTTTCTTAGCTCAACACCCGTGTAGTACACGACTATTGTAATAGTGAATAATCACATATGAATGCTTTCTACCATGATAAGGACCTTGCCATTCATTTACAACTTTAACTACGCACAATGGACGATCATCCATTCATAACATGTTCGTTTCATTGCATGTCACTACTTAAATAAACTTGTACAAATTGTATTTTATCAATTATTCATGATAATATCATAATGCTAAGGTCTACACTTTCTTGTGAAACATAATACGACCTTTTAATATCTATAAATACATTCAATTACTAGCATATAACCAGTCATAATTTATAGAATAAAAAAAATAAAAAAATAAGATGATGGGCTACATAGAGAGATTTGTTCTTCTCATCCTTGTCTTTGCTTTTGTGAACACTCAAGCAAGAACATTCATAGGTGACAATCTTCCTAGTTTATGAATTATGTGCAATTTGCATATAAAAATATTTAAATGAATTATATGATGTAGCATATATGAAGGTAACAATAGGCCTTACTAATTAATTTTGCACAATTAATATTTTCAATGTGTTGCAGAGCATGATGAAAATGTTGTGAAGCCAAACTATGGGAAACCTTCACTACTCAGAGACATGGAAAGGAAATTCGGCACCAAATTCATCCACTCGGTTGATTCAAATAATCACGTCGAGGGAACATAACGAACTCTGGGAAGTTCTAAAGAAGTATGGAAGGCACCAAAGGTCACCGCCTCCGGCCCCCAAAGCAGCACCACCCACTCACCCTTTAGAGGACGAGCTGCTGGCAAGTCATTAATTAATTACTCGAATACATGTGTCTCGTGAGTCAAAATCTCGTGTTTTATTCAGCTAGTAATTCGATCTGGTTTAGGCTATGTTTGGTAGACAAATAAGCTGACTTATAGCTTATTTGATTCGCTTATAAGTTTTCTGTATTTAAATAAGCTTCGTTTGGTAGGACAAACTTTTTTTAAAAATCTCAAACTTATCTCATAAGCTTCTTTAGGTAGTTTTTAAGCTCCTTGAAACTTTTATTTCAGATAATTTTACCAAACACTTAAGATATAAGCTAGCTTTTCAGCTATAAATCATATGTTATAAGCTCGAAAATTACTAATAAGCTATAAAGATAACAACTATCAGCTAACTCATCGGCTAATTTTACCAAACATAATCTTAATGATGTGTGCTTAATCTACTATATGTAATTCGATGATGCTTATGTCTTGTATATATTCACTTCCCAATTGTATATATCATGAAAAAATGCCTCCAAATTTTCAAATTTGGGGAGATTCACACTACTCCAGAAATTACAAAAAATAATATAAGTCGGAACCATAATTTTTACGGCGAAAAAATCAAGCTTCGTTTAATTTTTCACAACACAAATTAGTGATTAGATGATAAATTTGAAACTATAAGAATTCAAATACTTCAAAATAGTATCGAGAATAACCAGAAAAGTGAAAACCATAATGAAACAAGTAATAGAAAACCTGAAATCAGTTCTGCTGCATCAGCATTCTATCCAAGACAAAGGAAGTTTGAGAAAAAGAAACCATAGTTTACACATTAACCAAATTGCTTCCAAAATATACAGCAAGAGATCCAAATGGCCGACTAAGGGCAGCAGGACCAAGTTTCAAAGCGATACATGAAATACAGAATCCAGCAATAAATTTAAATTAAGACTGACACACAGTATTCGTAATCTTGTTTCTGCATAAGATGTCAGAAAACGTCCAAACTACCACGAACCCTCAGCACCAGCAGTGGGATTCTTGAAAGCATTAAAATCCCAGAAAGTCTTCAACGAGTATGGCTGAGAAATCGTGATGCCTTCCTCTGTTATTTTTGCAATCTGAAATGATGGTTAACATGGTTAGGGACAATTATTAAAGAAGTTAACTAGTATTTGGGAAAAGGAAACGTATTTCAATTTGGAGTCTATGCCTTCATATTAACATTGACAATATTTTAACCAATTCTTTAACAAGGAAAGCATTGATATACGAGTTTGATTTCATTTTGGGATACACACATATATCTGTCTCAAGTTATTGAATGCAATTTATTCTTATAAAAGTATAGTATATAGTATAGCATGACATCTACATATCTCGGCACAAAATAATATTATCATGACATCAAATATACCAAATTATTAGCGAACGGATCATTCAAAGAGGTAATAAATACCTGAAGTTTGTTAACAGCCGATCGATCACGATAAAGAAGCACACGCATGCATTTCTCCAGTAATTTCACACCCTCTTCAAATGTTAAGTTCTCATTCCATTCGTCACGCAAAATGGGTCGGGCTAGGTGATTACCAAATCCAGTTGCCACATGGTTGTCCTCGTAATGCACACCAATCATGCTAACCTGAATTATATAACACACACGAAAAAAATATAATAAAATTTTAAATAAATGAACAAAGCATTAAATCAGCTATACCTCAAACTGATGAGCACATAGTAGTTGACTACACATACATTGAAACAAATACATACCGTCCCAAGATACTTCTGCCCATTTTTAATTCCACCGAGCACAAGTGAATTCCAAAGTGGATTGAACTTATTACGACGGTTGTACATCACCCTGGTCAGGTAATTGTGGACCTCCTTAGGGCCCAACGAGTTCCCGTCGTCCCACATGTTATCAAATAAGCTGCATCAAGAAAATAAGGGAAAACCAAACTCATATTATTCAAACAATTCACACAAGCACTATTATCCGCCAATACAGCGTAAAGCGAGTGGCAAAAAGGAATCAGTTTAAAAATTATGTCCAGTCAAGTTATATAAGACTTACATAAGCTCATCAAGATAGCGCATTATCTCCTGAAAATCGCTAATCTCACCACTTGCACCTATAATAGAGTGCTTTCCTACAGGTTTCAATCGCTCCACAGTTTTGTAACGAAGGGTAGACCCATATGAACCTATTCAAAAAA